TGTCTGTATAATATTAGCATTCATACAACCAGAAGCTCAAGCACTGGGTTAACTCCATTTGAATGTGTCTTTCACCGACCATTTACTTTTCCACAACTAACTGCATCATTACCAGAAAATGACAAAAATGATGATTTGCATGCTTATTTGAGAAATGCTGCAAAAACAAAAGAACAAATTGAATCTGCCAAAGCTCTCTCTACCCCACAGAAACCTGGACATGACCAGAAGATTCAGGTTGGCGACCTGGTGTTCCTAAAAGCCACACAGAGAACAAAGTGGTCTGACCCACGGTGGAACGGTCCCTACAAGGTCTTTCTGACGACCCCAACCGCAGTCCAAATTGCTGAACGACCCTCCTGGATTCACGTAAGCCACTGTAAACTGTTAAGAGCTCAAGAAGCTGAACTACAGACACACACTAGTGCTGAAGTCCGGCTACAAAGGGGATATACACAACAGGTGTATGCAGCGAATGTCGCTGTCACTATCGCAGTGATCTTCTCAACCCTGGTGAAGAAATCAACGGGTAGAACACCCCCTAGTGTGTATTAGAAATTTTCCATGCCCACCAGATTATGTATGTAATTGTGGTTCCAAGACTTATCTATGGTTGCCCGAATAATGGTGTGGAACTTATTTAGCTAAACTTGTTCTAGCCTCTGTTGTAATTCCTAAAGCTAACTTGATTTCTTTTGTACATTCAACTGGTATCCACTGTTACAAACACAGCACGACAGAAACAAAGGCACCTCTGCTTATTAGTAATATTAGAGGATTCTTTATGACTCTTTTTCCGGTGTATGGTGTTGCATATCATTGGATGAATGATGTTTTTTGGTCACTAGAAAATCTTACTGCTTCTGTGCTACATCTTGCTAAATTTGTTAAAAATGATCCTAAAAAAACGTGCTTAGAAAACCATGATTATGCAAAATTGCATCGGGGGCCGCCCCGGGAGACCGGGTGTCGACATTTTAGTCGAAACTTGGTCGACGGGTCTCCAGACCGGGTTGACCCGAGAGACCGGGTTTTCCAAA